AGTTTTCATTATTTGAAACTGTCAAGTCAAACTCCAAGTTCCAACATCTTTGTGGATATCTAAGTGTGTTTCAGTACCTTTCAACTATTTATATTTAACTGTCTTTCCCAGCTGCTGCTACACAGGGACAAAAAGCATTAACTAGCATGAAGTTGCAGTTGTGAAATTAATTCAGTTTGAGCTGTTTGTAGGGCAATTTGTCAATAAATGCGCATTTTTTAGCATCTTTGCTCTCCTGAAAAGGTCAGACACACAAATAATCCAATGTGTCTTTATTCTTTTTAGACTGACGTCTCTCTCTTTCTTTCCCTCGCAGCATGCTGCCCCCCACTGGCAGGACTTGAGAGACGCCTGCCGAGGACTCCTCAACTTCATCACCCAGACCCTCAGCACTCTCTACAGGCTCACGTAGAGCGCCGTCTCACCTGCGGCCACCGTGGCGACTTCTCATTCAGGACTCGGCCACGGACCATCGGGACCGTGGCCGGTGAACACTGTCGTCCGTTTTGAAAGCTGGAGGATTAACGCGGCCTGAAATCAAAACGTTTTCTTGAACAAAGAGTTTGGGAGGATGGATCAGCAGCTGGAGGTGTCGGTGCCACCTGTGGGCTGGATCAGGGTGCTGGTGCTGTGGAAACTGGGCCCTGCCTGTCTGTCTGCCTGACGGTCCGTCTGTCGGTCAGTCTGCTGGTTCAGACTGCAGCTGACGGACTGACGGTCACTTTCCTACCTGTATATTCTGTATAATCCCCTCGCTTTTCTCTGTCTTTGTCAGGGGGGGCTAGCTCTTTATGTAGCAGGCATGACTCAAGTGTCAAGTGTGTGTAAGTCAGTGTGTGTGTGTGTGTTGTGTGTGTCCGCACACGGCAGATCTGGGTCAAATGGGATAGGTTTGCACATAATGTGATGTTGGGCTTTCCGTACCACAGATGATATGAGACGTGTTTTTCTTCTCTTCCCTTTGATTACATACAATTTTCATCATCATATCTTCTCCTTTCTGACACCATCTGAGTTGAGTTAAAAATAATTATATATGATAACAGACACGATTTGACCCTCGTCTGATGTGTGCGTGTTATTGTTGCGTTTTTATTTTGCCCCCCCACTTAGAAACTGTGAAACTGGACGCTGTGTTTGCATCGCAGGGAAAAGTCGGGTGTTACTCCACTATGGAGCAAAGCACTGAGTGAACCTCTCTCCCAATCTGAAACTGCTTCATCATACAAACGTGCCTTTCTTGCTCAGCGCTCTGTTGACGCCTAATCTTTAACATCAGGACAATCAGCCACACGCACACATTCAAACAAATACACACACACTCTTTTGTCACTAAACTCAAGTCACATTCAAAGGATCCAGCTTCAGCGTGGCTTAAGGTCATTTAAGGACAGAAATAGTTTAATCCCCACCAAACATACACACATTTTGCCGCTGTGCGTCCCCTCCGCAGCGCTCATGCAGCCAGTGTTGGGAGCTGGCGGGGTCTCACGCCCGTGTCGACAGTGTTTATAGTTACTTGATCGTTTGTAAATATTCTTTTGGGAGATGAATTTAACTAATATGAGAATTTGATGGACTTTAAAAGTACTTATCAAAGCGAGAGTTCACTGTGTTTGGGAGATGTGTTTTGTATTTCTGAGCGAAGTTTTGAATTTAAATCCAGTGGATTTGAGTTAAAGAAAAATATATGATTTGGATCTTTTGACTGAAAAGTATTTGATGCTGTTTGTAAAATGAACCCCTTCGATTATTTTCATTGTAGTTTGGGAGAAAATGTTGATTTGCTCATATTAAGAGCATAATTTATTTTGAAATGTAGCCTTTCTGTAGCTTGTTTTTTTTTTTTTACATATTGTATTATTTATTTGTTTTCTTACATTCTTTGATCAAAACAATGAATTAAGTTGTATTTTAGTTGTAACTGTAACAGAGATTGAGTAAGAAGGGAGATAAAGCTGAAAGTGGATACATCTCTTGTCCGTTGCTCACGTTAAAAAACTTATTTTAAACGGTACATTTTAGGGCAATTGTTTTATTATAAACAACTTAACTGATATTCCAAATTTGAAACCAGACTGATGCGTCTTTTGTTAGCTTTGTGTTTGTCCCATGAAGCACAAATGGTAACGGAGATGTGAGTATATTACTGAATGCCACTCCAGAAACTGAAAGAGATGTATTAGCTGTCAGTGTGTATATTAGATGAAGTACCAAAAATCTCCCTTTATACTCTAAATATAATATTAAAGCACAAAAAAAAGACAAAATCAGGCATCTCAGACTGTTACCAGTACTCAAAGTTTTTGTTAAACAGCTCAAACTGACTGAACTGAAAACCCCCTTTGAACTGAAAACAAACAATGGAAATGTATGAAACGGTGTAGCTCTGTGATTTTGGACAGCGCTAGTGCTACATGTGGTGCTGCACATACTAAAAATATCCATTTATGTACTGTCACCTACTTTGAATTATTAGTAATTTCAACTTTTATTTGAGGATTTCTCTGAAATATTGACCTGTCACACTTAAAATGCCTCATAAATTCAACAGGGAAGTGATTGGTTGTGGCGGTTTTTCTTTTGCCATACATATTATACCACTCTCACTTGGCCTTAGCTGTTTTGTAACTTTTTTTTTTAGCACAAGGCCTTGTTTTTAACATTTTTGACAGCCTTGATGTATAAAGTCCTAATGATACCACAGCCTGCAGACGTTCTGCGTGGCGCTCTGAGCACGTGCAGTTGCTCACTTCCTGGTCATTTTTTCTTGTGAGAGTGCACTTCCCCGGTTCAGGGCTCGCCTCCCTCAATACAATGACGTTTCAGTTTCAGTGTCATCACATGCAGTGTGTATTTGCTGTTTTTCAACTTTTTTCTATTGTAAACTTTCTACATGAATTTTGTACTTTTTTCTTTTTTATACAATAAAAATAAGGAGAACTATATTTACTTGTTGGGTTGTTTCATTTCTAACAATGTATCTAGAGATCCCACATTATATATATATATACTTGTAACAGAGCATTCACAGTGTGGTACTAACATATTATAATAGATCTTAATGCTTCCTCCACCATTATAAGTTCCAGCTGTGCCAAAAGGCTGCAGGTGCATGACGCAACATGTGTGTGTTTAGGAATATATATTAGGTGAGTAAGTCCTCTCCGAGACAAAAATCCAGTTTGGTATCTCATTCCACCTCCGAGGTACTGTTATTTATTTAGCTCATGTGGCAACCCGGGTCTAAGGTTGGGTCTGTTCTGCCACCAGAATGTGGCGCGGCAGATGTTTACAGATGTTGGTGGCTCTGGGGGCGGGGCAGCAGCCCTCAGGCCATGTGTGACAGCGGACGGACACACACCGCTGTGGTCTCCATCACATCTGGAGAGCACCACGGATTAGCAGACTCAAGGTCAAGACCCTCGCTGCTCTCTCTCTC